CAAAATCTACAAAAATATCATTCCTGCAACCTGTAGAGACAGTCCTGAAGAGCAAGTAATCTGTGGCATCGTATTCATGAGACTTTGCTTAGTATTCTATAATGTTAAAAATGTGAAAATCATTTACTGAATGTGAGTTCTTTAGATGATATCCTGCTGTTAGCCATGAGTATGTATTATAAAATTAAAAGTACACCTCCTGAAAAAGTAGAATTTATCCATTCTTGTAAATCCCATCCAACATTGTAAAGCATATGTTATTAATGATTGTAACAGTGTTAAAATTAAAAGCATATATAATGGAGGCAGTTTTTGATGAAGAGTTAGTATTTGTCAGTGTCCCAAAGCCATTTATCATGAACAGTCACAGGAAATTAGTCACAGAGACCCTCCAGAGTCAGACTAATTAATGTATCAAAGTACCAATGTCAGTATCATACTGAATTGTGAAAAAGTGTCCCACCTGCAGGGCTTCACTGGTTTCTCGAGCACCCTAAGGAGGGAATGTAGGGAGAGGAGATACAAAGGAAAGACACCAAGTCTGGATTCTGATCAAGGTGCAACTTTCTTTCTCTCCACGAAGGTTTATATAGCTCCACAGGGTGGGGGGGGAGCAAGAAGCTGTCATCTGCATAAGGTGGCACAGGCTAACAGGATGTTTGTATAGGATGTTTACAGGGTGAGAGGGTCAAGGGCTCTGACTCAATGTCCTGTTGCTAGGCAACCTGACTGTAAGATGATCTAGTTCCCTGTCTTATTGGGGGTCTGTATTTTTCTACTAACTAGAGATTCTGTCCTTGTCCCTGACAAAAAAAGTAGAAAATTTTCATTAAGTCTTGAAGTTAAGAGTCATCTCTCTTCACACATTTTCAGTTTGTACTTGAAGACTTACCTAATACAGAAACAGAAGTATAGGATAGTAGAGAGGGAAATAAATTCCACTGTCATTGTGTGAACATAACATGAGTTTCTATGTAGAAATTATGAATCATCGTATGATAAGTCTTTCTAGCAAGGTGAATCTGGGATGACTGATCTGCAAGCCAATTCTGTGTGTGTGTGTGTGTGTGTGTGTGTGTGTGTGTGGAACATAACATGAGTTTCTATGTAGAAATTATGAATCATCGTATGATAAGTCTTTCTAGCAAGGTGAATCTGGGATGACTGATCTGCAAGCCAATTGCTTTTTCATATATGAGAAATAGGCATTGGAAAATGAAATGAAAAACACAACAATTTCATTCTGGTCTCAACACCCTCACACCTGTCATGTGACTTTGCTGTTGTGAAAGTTTCTTTGATGGGGTAATTTATAGTGGTTAGCAATTGCTACAAATCAAAAATTTGTGTTAAGAAAACACTGTCAAAGTCCTGCCCAAACTGTCTTGCCAGCTAGTCCTTATTCTACCAGTGTGGTATCATTGCCTTTTTATTTCAAGAGAAACTCCATGAAGAACATGTGTTGAAGTCTGAAAGGATGGAGGATCACAGAGTTTTGAGACATCATAGGCAGAGTGACTTTGAATTCTGAGCTCCAACTTTACTTGTCTTTTTTGTTATTGGGGTACATTTTCTATTTCTAGTTCAATAGAGAGATGCTTCTGCCACAGAGAATGTGACAATTTATTAAAATGGAAAATGACACATGGGGAGGGTGGGAAATGTACAGAAATGAGGACCAAAGCCAGGCAGATGGCACAGAATATTCCCACACTATATAGATCAATAAAGGTGATGGTTCATTCAGCAAACACCCACAGTAGGTTGAGGGATGTAAACTCATTTGCTGAGGAAGGATCTCATCACACCCAAGGATATTTCTGCACCTAAATCACATTTGCTCCCTGGACATAATCTCTCTAGTTCCTTAGTTTAAGAACTGGATTTTCTTACAGAATTCTTGGGATCATCACATTTATTTCCTAGACTCTGGAACCTTGAGAGATGTACTTCATTCTTCTCTGATTACTTCTCAGCTGCACGTTGGGCCTGCTTCTGGCTGACCCAATCCTTAATGACCAGAATCCCAAGGACTGTGAGGATCATGACAGCAAATCCCATCCTGATGAGATTCTCCACTGTGTGATCCTGGATCTCTGAGGCTGTGGTTGTGGACAAAGAAGTTACAGAGGTTACTGATGATCAAAATTTCCTTAAGATAACTATATGTTCCCAAGATAACTAAATGTCCACCCAGGTTCCCTGCCTTACTGTGACAAAACCTGGAGCCTCTGTTTCCAGTGTTATGACTTTAAATTCTCTTTGTTCAACTGTGTTGGGTTTAGGCATGTTCGGGGATGGACTGAAAATCTCAACTGATTCTGAGAACAGAAAAAGAGAAATAGGATGTGTGCATGCTTAAGAGATGTGGGTGTGAACTGGAGACATGGTTCAGAGGTTAAGAGCACTTACTGCTCTTCTAGAGGTCCTGAGTTCAATTCCCAGTAACCTCATGGTGGCTCACAAACATCCGTAATGAGAACTGGTGCCCTCTTCTGGCCTGCAGTCATATATATGGCATACATAATAAATAATAAATCTAAAAAATAAATAAAGATATCTGGGTGTTTCTTCTGAATTCTACTTTCTTATTATTGTAAATACCAATAATTCTTATCCTAAAAGTTCACTAAGTCTCAGATGAATCTTTTCACTGTTATGGCTGTGTTGCCTCTCTTATTCTTTTTAAAAATACATTAATTAATTAATTTGTTTGTTTATGTTACATCCCATCTGCTGTTCCCACCACTCTTCCCAGTCTCCTCCCCAATCCCTCTGTTCTCACCCTTGAATCCACTCCTCCCTATCTGTTTAGGAAAGGGTAGGTCTCCCATGAGTATCAACAACACATGATGTATAGTCAAGGTAAGACTGAGCACTTCCCCTTGTATTAAGGTGGGGTAAAGTGACCAAGTATGAGGAGTAGG